AATCATCTAGTATGTCTTAAAAGTTCTTTTACTTAAAATTGCAACAATTTTAGTCAAAACATTTTTTAAAATTAATTAATTAAAGAGCTTTTAGGACATCCTAGTCGCTATCCCTTTCATTTTCCGTTCTGGATTTTCACGGTAACTGCACTAATTACTTATTTGACTGCAACAGCTACGTATTAATAAATTCTTCTGCTAAAATATTCCAAACAACTGTTCGTCAGATTTTATGTTTCATTTATTTATTTGTTTTGCGTAAATAAACAATATTATTCCAAACTGTTTAATTTTTTTAAATTGATTAAGTAAAATCTCTTTTTTGGATAAAGTTTTATGCAATATATATGTATACATGTATAACTAAAATAATAGGTATACATAATGATTTCGTTTTCTAGTACTATTAACTATGCAATAATGTATATACAAAAGTTCTCTTAATTATGTGTAAAAACAATTGATAGTAAACACACCGAAATTAGTATGGCGAAGCCATTATCTATTATACCTATTGAAAATCTTTAACAATTTATTTTCTTAGGAACTTGGTACTCTTTTTTTTCTTCGATCTTATAAACAAAAACCCAAAATAAAATCATTCAAGGCTGGGGATTTAGTTCTAGTAAAACACCAGATACCAACTACAGGGAAAAGTCGAAAATTAGCGGCGAAATTCAGGTGCCCATATTGGTATCCGTCAAATGGACATATACCATATTGCTTAAATCACCTCACCAATTATATAACGTGAATCACTTTTTAAATCCGAAGTTTGTAAAAAGTAGGCAGTAAACTTGACGGAATTTGAAGGCTAGCTTCCGGATTTGTTGTTATACATTTCTCATTGCAACACTTTCTTTCCTTATTTACGAGTGATTTCCTCAGTACATATATTTTGACTTTCATTTTGCAGTAGGTAGGTTGAAAGGGCCACAGGGGAAATGTGGTGACTATGAAGGGTTAGAGGGCTTCTTTGCTTCTAAAATATTGTTTAAATATTTACATAGCAGTCTATAGTATACAGGGTATTCCACCTAAGACGGTTTCGTCCATAACTGTTATGCATTTAATAAAAAAAGTCTCCATAAAAGAGGTCATATGGTGCATATACAAAAAATATTTTTAATCATACAGGATGCTCCATTTCTTCTGGGCGCTAACTAACTTATCTCTCACTCTCATCCAGCAAATCAATGCGTTTTTTTTAGGTAATATAGGCCTATAGGAATAACTCCTATACTTTTTCTGTAGAAAGTTCTTTGCAATTTTCAAGTAATAAACAATTAAAATAAAAAAATAGCAAATTTTTGCGTATTATATCTTAATAATTCATTAAAATTAACAATAACTATTGCAAATTGTTATATATCTTGATATTACGTGGAAAGATAGATTTAATAGTACTTAAAATGTGATTAAAATTTCAATTTGATTATTTCATTAGTTTTTGGATTATAGAAATTGTTTATCTCAGAGAAGTTATTTTTGCAATATAGTAGTACGCACAACTTTGGACAGACAGAGATTTTGTAGGTTTTTTCTGGAAGGGCAGGTGTTTTTCTACAATGATGTTTAATTAGAATAAGAAAAAAGACATTTTAATTGTTGCAAAATGTCGTTACAAAAGTGCTACCGTACGCACAACTTTGGACAGAAAGAGCTTTTGTAGGTTTTTTTGGAAGGGCAGGTATTTTTCTACAATGATGTTTAATTAGAATACGAAAAAAGACATTTTAATTGTTGCAAAATTTCGTTACAAAAGTGCTTTCATTTTGGTTTATTAACAAATAAAATAACTTTATTGCTATAACTGTTAGAAATATGCCGTTTTTATACTTAGAAAGAGGACATTTTTTAATGAATTTAAAAAGTTCCTGAGGAAAGTAACGTTTTGTTTTTTTAATTCGCAGCTATTTTGTTTATAACAATTAAAGACAGTCATATAAAGATAAATTATTTCAACAGGATGTCATTTAAGTGGATCAGTTTCTAATAATTTACTAATTAAACTGCATTAGTATAACTGAAGGCACCTATAAAATGTATTATGTATCTATCATAGGTATAGAAAGAATTTTCATCTATAGGTCTCCCGGCTCGTTTGTCGCTTCATCTTGTCATTCAATCGTATTCAATTGTGTTCGGTCCTCGAGAAGGAGATGTACCACCATTTTTGCCGTCCATAAATGGAAACGACGCCTGAAAGTATTTAGCCCTAATCCTTATTCGATTTTCATTTGATTTATTGTGTGGAATGCGTTTCGGTTTAGTGATTGATTGATTTCAATTATATTTTAATTATAATTATATTTTGTCATGAAAAACTTGGGTGGCGCGTTCGTTTCGTGCTCTATTATCGAGTGTGTCGTGGCATCTTGCCTGTACTTATCTAATGTGAATTTTATAAATTCTTAGTTTATTGGAGTTTGAATAGTTCGGGTTTTGTTAGAATTTTTAAATTTTGAATACACGTTTAGGCGATGATTCTAGATTTTTCATATCGATGTGACCACGCCACGAAGATTGCTTTCATTTTATAGCCAAAATATGTAAAATATTTCTTAATGCTATTATTCTGCTTTTAAAATTCCAAATTTCCTTTAAAATTTTTTTAACTTNTGAATTTCATAGTCAATTATTTGCTTGGTGGATGTCTTAATTTAATAAAACATAATATAAAGCTAACGTTGAATTATTTCAACAGGATGTCATTTAGGTGGATGAGTTTCTAATTTACTAATTAAACTGCATTAGTATAACTGAAGGCACCTATAAAATGTATTATGTATCTATGATAGGTATAGAAAGAATTTTTATCTATAGATCTTCCGGCTCGTCTGTCGTTTCATCCTGCCATTCACTTGTGTTCGGTCGTCGAGAAGGTGATGTGCTACCATTTTTGCTGTCCATAAATGGAAACGTCACCTGAAAGTAATTAGCCCTAATCCTTATTCGATTTTCATTTAATTTATTGTGTGGAATACGTTTTAGTTTAGTGATTGATTGGTTTCAATTACCCGCTCCGTCATTATATTTTGTCATGAAAAAATGTTGGTTTCGTGCTCTAATATCGAATCTGTCGTGGCATCTTGTCTGTACGCATCTAATGTGAATTTTCTAAATTCTTAGTTTATTGGAGTTTCAATAATTAGGGTTTTGTTAAAATTTTTAAATTTTGAATACACGTTTAGGCGATGATTTTAGATTTTTCATATCGATTGCTATCATTTTATAGCCAAAATATGTAAAATATTTCTTAATACTATTATTCTGCTTTAAAAATTCCAAATTTCCTTTAAAATTTTTTTAACTTGTTATTCTATGCTTGATATTCTAAGGATTAAGTTTTAACGACTTTTTTTTCAGTAATATAGACTTGCTTTGAGATTACATTCTTGGATTCGATGGACAAACACTACTTACAGATTTGTGGCAATTAGACATATTTTTATTTCCAAGAATGCCCCTAATGAGCTGGTCAAAAAATTCATAGGATACAGGGTGCTAACAATGGTAATTATCATTAATAATA